GAAAATCCAGGCAGAATGCGCGGTTACTTTGTGCGGCTTGGCTTTGCCTTTGGAGCTAGATGCTTCAAACGAGAGAGTGAAATTAGACCTGCAAGTTCTGTCTGAGCACACATCTCCAGCGTATGTCTTACAAATTGGAGGCTTACATGAGCCACCCAAACTCAAGGAAGCAGTTGGTGGTGCAGTGGTAGACACCCTCTTGGACATCTATGTGGCTCATGGTGGAAAGTATGACAGGTTGCAGTTGGGCCACTCCAAGCAATTGAGCGCTTCCACTGTCACGGATGAGATCAAGCAGTGTTTGCGAAAGCGACACCTGGCACAAAAGCTTTGCCAGGAGGAGCAGGAGACAAAAGACTCCTCAGTGGACAACCTACTGGAAGCTTTTCAGAGTTGCAGAGGGAAAGTGCTTGAGACTAAAAACCTCAGAATAGCAGCTGGCTACAGAACTTTGGCCTGCTCTCTCTTGCAATCACATGGGTACGAGCAAATGGAAGTTTGGCCTGAGGATGCAGACCACAGTGCGATCCTGGTTGATTTGATACTGCAACACGATGGTGGCGTGGAGAGCATGAAGGGCGTGCTGAGCAAAGCAGTTGAAGAAGATTTACGGGGGAGAGATTGGAAGTCCTTTTTGTCTAGCTTGTGTGAAAAGCAGTCAATGCCAAATCTGCTGCAGGCTTGGCGTAGCAAAGGCCTTCCAGATGGGACAGCTTTGGAAATGTTGGTCGGCTTGGGCAGACTTGAAGCTGCAGCAGAGAGCGTCCGGAAAGACCATGAGAAATTCCTCCAGTCACGGCGTGGTCGGCGCCATCAAACACAGGAGGAAAGATCCCACATCAAAGCGGTGAAAATGGCTCAGGCGTGTGAGGGCCTTGCTGAGGATATCAAGGAAGCTGCTGTAGAGAAGCTGCAGCAGCGGAAGAGGCCACTTGATACAGACCAGCCCACCAATAGCGACAAGATGTCTTCAGGCACGAGACGCAAAAAGAAGGCTCGCTTTAGCAAATGGTTGAGGAAACCTGGCCCGAAGCCCAAACGCCGTCAACCTGGCGATGAACTCTCCATCTTTTGGAAGCGCCAAATCGCTTCCCGGCTGGACAGTTATTGTGCCAGGAGTGGTTATTTCCAGGTTCCAATTCCCCTACATTCAAGATTTGCAATACAAAATTAATAGGTATGGTCCAGTGTTGGGGTGCTCTTGTAAATATTACCTCGCATCAATTGTCATTTCTGGAGTGTGAGGTCCAAGCTGGCCTGGACTTTGAAGAGGCAGGCAACAAGTCTTCGGTGGACAAGCACCTGATGTCCATGTTTCCGGAGAAGTATAGATCCCGCCGGTATGCACAGCGAGCCTTGCACCACCGATGGCAATGGAACATGATTCCAGATAAATTAGCTTCCAAATGGATCCAGGTTCCAAACAAGTGGAAACGTGCTTTCAAGAATGCTCCGCTGAAGGGCAGGTGTGCAGACACACATGGGTTACCAAGTGAAGTTGAGGAAATGATAGCAAAGGTCATCATTGATCTCACTGAGGGGGAAAGCTCGACTTTCAGAAGGGCAGAACCTGTGGACTTTTCTGACCTTGCTGAGACCATGCGGGTGGCAGTGGAAGCTGTCAATGAAGAGGTGGCTGTAAGCCTTGAAGATGTGCGCCGACACAACCAATCCCTATTGTCAGAGCTGGCCAATGGTAGCATTGAGGCTGAGGAGTGTGAGGACGGCTTGCTAGAGGAGCCAAAACCGGTAAGTTTGAAGAGCATACCAAACATGGTGCGCTCTCTCAAGAAGCCATGGCTTCAGCCGTCAGAAGGTTAACACCGCCGGCACGTACCTGGAACCCGATGACCCTGTGATGCTAGAGTGTCTTGTTTGATGTCCCAGAGGCTGGGAGAAACTTTTCCCCCCTTTTTTTCCACTTTACAGGATTGGGTGGCTGTAGTGATAGATAGATAGATAGATAGATAGACAGATAGATAGATAGATAGATTTATAAGACTTTAGAACTGCATGGGTGGTTTGTGCCATGTGTGCAGCTTTTGTTTGAGGAGTTTAGCACGATTCCAGAAGTACCGTCAAGATGAGCAAATACCCCTGAGACTGACGCTCAACTATGACCAGACTTGGGTGCAGCCATGGAGATCTAGCAAGGCAAATACCATGCGAAAGCAAAGCAAAAAGTCAGGTAGAAAAGCTGTGACAAGGGTGACAGCAATATCTGGAGCTCGAGCTGGTATAACCATGGTGACAAGTTCTTGGGCGTGCGGCCAAAGGGGGCCTCTATTCATCTGCGTTGGGAAGGGCGCAGTGAAAGAATCCTTTGTGACTGAGCTGAACCAAAAGTATGAGGGCGAGGTGATGCTCATACGGAATGACTCCAAGACTCATTTCATGAACTCTGAGTCAACCCTGGTGATGTATCAAGATTTGCTCACAAAGGCGTTCCAGAAGCAGCGGGAAAAACATCACATGCAATCCCGCAAAGGGCTACTGGTTGCAGACGGCTTCACCGGCAACTACAGCAATCACTCGGGGCTGGGCCTTCTGCGCCACAAGTGGGCTGCTCTGAACAACATCCACTTGCCGTCAGTGGAGCCGGGGGGTTGGTCGGCCCACGGCCAACCCCAGGCCGGGATTGAAACATGGTTTTTGTTTTCTAGCCCCCTGACTGAAAAGAGGTTGCCTAGTTTTGCGCCAGGAGGGTGCCTTTCTAAACCCATCCTGTGGCAGGATCAAATCCACGGGTTCTTCAAGTCCATGAACGATGCAAGCGCCCAAAAAGAACTGCAATTCAGCAAGTGCCTTTTTGATAGACTTCCCTTCTACCGGCTTCTGGTCTTAATCAAGGATAGTCAAGTTTCTGGAAGAAGGAGAGATGTAAACAAAGAATTCCAAGACAGTGTTTGGCTAATGCGCCATGTGTTGGGGAAGTGAAATAGTAGGTAGATATAGGGATGCATTTCTGTACAGAAAAGACCAGTGTAACGCCACACTTGGCACAAAGCCACTCTAAGGCTGCAGATTGGAACTTCTGGGCAGTCCTACAAGAAGGCCTCTGTGGACAGCTGTATCCAGTTGGTTGTGGACAACTGGTTCCAATTTCCATCTATTCTCTTGCAGAAGGCTTGGGTCAGGACCAGGCATGTCTCTTTGGAAGAGATGAAAGCCATGAATGGCTCCACTGATGATGACTTTGCTCAATCAGAGCAGTGGTGCGACCCATCAGGCCTTGCAGGCGTTCTGGGATATGAAGGAGCTTCGGCCCCCAATGCAGATGACATGGAATTGAACCAAGTGGACAGGAAAGTGCTCTTGTGGGAGATCAAGAACCCGGACACTGACCAGTGGGCCTTGCTGCCAGCTTCCCTAGTGTTCAGTTTGGAGAAACGGTTGGCCAACTATGTGCACCAGGTTGCCCAGAAGCAGCCCATGCCAGTTTGGGCCAGTGTTTGCTGGAACACCCGCTTAGCCAAAGAAGCTTCTCCTTCGTGGGTGGCTCAGAATACTGTGCACTCACCTGGTGGCAAGAGGCACTTCTCCGACAAGATCTCAAAAAAGGCATCCAAAGAGCTTGTTTTACTTCATTTCCAGTGCGACAAGCTCCAGTTGGTGGTTGGAGACGAGGGGAAGGTGAGGCAATTGAACTATGTCATGCTGAACCCGGACAGCGTGGACCCAAGCATTTCTACCTTTTCAGTGGCAGATGTGCACAAGCAGTTCGCAGGCGCGACTCCTGGCACAATGGATGCACCTTCTGAACATGAGGCATCCTCTGAGGGTGATCCGGAAGATGACGGGGATGAAATGCACAACATGATGGTTACTTTTTCATTAGTGCAGGGGCAAGGCCATTTCATGGACCAGGTGGATGATGCCAGCGTCGCCTCCCATGACAGCTTTGCTCAAGACTGGCCGGCCTCATGGAAGTGGAGTACCCGGGCTTTTTCGATAGCAATTCAGAGCTCTTTGCTGATTTCAACATTGGCATAGGGGAAGAGGATTTGGAACAAGCTGCCTCCGCTTCTTCAATTGACAAGCCTGCTGCTGTTTGCAAAGCTGCCTCCAAGCCTGGTGACTTTACCACGTCTGAGCGAGCCAAATTAATTTTGCCTCCAGTTGTAGGGTGCCGCTTGCAACACCGGGCTCCGCACGGATGTGTTCAGGTTTGGTATCCAAATATGGCCTCCCGTACCTTCCGATACGCTAGTGCAGGTGTTTATACACCAGATACTGCCCCAGCAGGTCTTGTGCACAACACCATAAGATCTGCAGGGGAGTGGGCGTGGAAGTGCTTTGCTGTAGAACACGGTCAGGAGTCGGCCGAGCGTATGCACAAAATGCATGTGGCAGCTTTCGAGCATGCAGATGCATGACCAACAAGTTTGAAGCTGGAAGGGCTGGAAAAAAGGGAGCTATCGAGCGTCACTTTTGGCACAAGGGCTAGCAGGGGATTTGTGCCAAGAGAGAGGTTTGTATTGTATGTTTTTGCGATTTAGTGCCAGAAATCTGGCTGATTTATTTGATATTGAATTGAGCCAAGAGTTCTGAGGGTAGTATATATACAAGTGTGTATCAAGTTTATAGGAGTTTATATAATCCTCACACGCAAGGCAACCATTGATGGCTGGGATATAAGGCTGAAAATGTGTGCAACATGTTACGTTGTGACAAAGTCCGCCCCCTACAAGCGCGAAGCACAAATTTGAGAACATCATCCAACCCTTCAGGCCCACCTGTCATGGCTCACCAGTGGATCAAGGACTACAAAAAACATATATATATATATAGTATATCAAGATATCTCAGAACCCCCCAGATTCCAAAAAAAAAACTGCTCTCGACTGATCTCTTACAACTGCATCACTTGCAAGAAGCAACACCCTTGGTTCCATGCAGCATGGTTCAACAAGTGGATTAAGCATCCAATCCAATCTTTTCATTGCCGGATTACGGCTGCAACCCCTTGAAGGAGACGGTTAAAACTGCGGCATCCGAGCCTAAGCAATCAGGGAATTCTTCGAAGTGGTTGCCTTGCCAGTTCCGCAAAACATCAACTCACTTCCAGAATAGTGCTGCACGCGCTGTAGCATGAGAACGCCTTCAGTAGGCATTGTATAATTGATTGTGTTCGACTCGTGTCCCAAAATGTTTGTGTCAGACTCCCAAAAGCCTGACACATCCAAAGTGTATCATTGCGTACATGTACAGTGAGCTGTCCCAGGAATCCGTTCCTTGCTGGGTCGTCAAATGAACATATGCAGTCACATTGCGCGTCTATGATTCCAGTGATTGACAACGCAACGGATATCAATGGTTCGACAGGTAATGAAAACTGAATAATCTTGAAGACAATGACACATAATGAAACTAATGATGATGCCGGTGAGGATGATCAAGACTAAGAACTTGCCGTGAATGTCCAAACGAACCAGGTCATTATTCAATCTTGCGCTAACTGTCGCACAAAACATGAATGAACATGATATACCATTGGCCATCATCCATGTGCACGCTGTCGAGAAATCCTGAGTTCCTGGCCATCAAGATTCAGCACCTGCAACCAGCATTGCGTTCTGACAACAGGGTCGGTGATGAATCAGGTGTGCTCCACGGAAGATTGCATTTCACAAGAATGTGCTCCAAACATGTGGCACTCTCAACTTATATTATTGATTAAGATACTGATTACTGATTCAAATATACTAAGATTTTGATATGAACGGATACAGGCAGCAACAAAACAAGTCTGAAGCTGAAATCCCCTCAAGCTGCCACTGGCCGAGCTGAGCATCAAGGGTTTGCTTTCCCATGTCAACTGTAAGACCGAGACCATGATATTTGCACTGAAGTACTGCAGATATTGGATGATATTGGTGTCGCGAACCAATGATAGGGCTACGTGGTTGAGGATGTGTGGAGGCCAGGGGTTCAACGCGTGTGACATGTTTAACTTGGTTTGCTTCAAGAAAAGAAACAAAAAATGAAGGACATTAATTACAGGGTCTTGTTTGGCACCCGCGGTGTCGACCTTTTTTTCACTTTAGTTGTCGATTGCCTGGAGAGAGGTGAGCTGCTGGACAGAGGAGGGCAAGGTCTCCAAATGGTTCTCCTCCAGCTGACTGGTTCCAACTGGTAGACCAAAAAAGGGCTTGAGGTGTTGGTTTTCAGTGATTGCGTAGTTTGTGCATAGAGAAAAATGAAGGTGCTTGGGCCTCTTTAATCGGGACAGTCAAGGCTGTGGCAATCCTTCAAATTCCTTCAACGCCAGAGCCTCGCAGCTCCAGCAAGAACAGCGAACCCCCGCAAAACCGAACATGTGTCTGTGTCGAATGAAGTTGCCCTGGCTGTGGCAGTTCCAAAATTTAAATATGATTGAAATAAATACTGTATGTGACTGTGTTGATTCATGTCTAAGGCTAATTTAGGAAATCCATGCGCATCCCTGATGAGACACATCAAACAAACTTGAAGTATCCATGACTTATGCACTCCTCCAAAGCCAGGAGCTTCAGGGAACACAGCTGCCCAAAGCTTTCTGGTAGCTCTCTCAAACGGTTCCTCCCAAGTCGCAACCTCAACAAAGGGCTCAAAGGGCTCTGCACTCCTGTGAATCTGAGATTCTGAAGCCTGAAATCACTTGTGAAAGTCATACATTGCACAACCATGCACGACCCACATAAGAATCATAAGACAATACTAGACCATACTGTGCTACAAGTCATGAAGCGTTCCTTTTGCTCATTGGTTTTCTGATGTTATCTGTCCATCTCTGCGTGGATCTCTTTTCTCTTCCCACTTGGGAGTCCCAACTGTTGCAGCTTCGTCAGGCCTGGAACTGAAGCGATGCGAAGTGTTTCGAACGCAGGAGGCGATATTCATGTCTCAACGCAGTATATCTTTCCAAGTACCACTCCACAATAATTGTTCAAAACAAAACACTTACAAATTGCGCAGGGTTTGACCATGCTTTGAATTGGCACCTCCAAAAGTGTCCGGCAGAGTCTGCAATTGATTGCCCGTCAGCCACAAGTCCTCGCAGAAGAATCTATGACTTTGTCTACACTGTCTGCACTAAACGCTTGAGAGAAGCTAGGACCAAACCAACACAATAATGAAAGGAAGGTGATGTTCGATACTGTTCTTCAAACATAAAGCATTACCAACACAATATCACAGCCGCACACATCTGCCAATCATTCCAGCTTCATCGCGCCTTCCGCCTTTGATCATCCACATGAACCACTCTTCTTTGCACCTATTAGACCGCTTTTGAATGGCCTCCAATATGTTTTCTACCACTGATCTTGGCAGTCTTGGCCCAAAAACTGTGGTTGTCCTTTAAAGCGATGAGCCCTCCGAAGCTTTGCGGAAGGCGCTCCAACTCATTGTGCACCAGCCGGAGCCTCCGGTGGCTGCCAAGCCAAAATCACGGCATGCTGGATAAGGATGGCACACCTTCTACACGTACCATACGGCACAAATACATCTCACGGCATTGGGCCATGTCTCGTTCGATCCCGAAACCAGTTCAACTCGGTTCAACCCAATAGAGCAATCTGATCGGGCACCCCACTTTTGGAGCGACCGCAGCTGCCCAAAGGCTTCAGGCAGCTTTCGCCTAAGAGGGATTTGTGACGGTGCCACATGGAAATCCCATGGAAGCAATGCCAAAGAGACTCTCTGATTGGTAGTCAAGACTCAGCATCATTTGATCATTTGTGTTTCTTGCTCCCAGCGTCATTTCTGCATCTACGTCATGGCTAGTGTGGGCCCTAAGATGCAAACAAGCGGTTGAAGTCCAAAGACAAGCCTCAGGAACGCATCTCGGTTCTCAGCAGCAAACCATCTGGGCAAACATCTCCAAGGATGAAAACAGTCTCTGCATCGATGGCGACACCAATCAATTCAATGCTCCTAACTAGATGCTATCAGCATACTCTTCTGTGAGAGCATGTCTCCATTCTCTCCATGAATTTAGTAGAGTCAAGAGTATTAAAATAAACAATCCAACCACAAGTTTGTGGGACAGAATGAAACCTGATGATGAATCAAAGAGCCCACAAACATGCCCAAACCATCAAACCCAATGAGTTGCCCGATGGGCCAATGATGGCCAATGGGTTGCCTCACGTTGCAGTGCTGAGAGCGAGCCAATGCTTTCTGGCAATGCCTGCTTCGATGCGGACCACCGCGACGTGATCGACACACCGATCACACGACCAGAGTGACATCAGATGGTTCCAGAAATCAGTTTGCTACTTCTGATCCAACGGTTGTCAAACCAAATTCTTGACCAAGTTCTTCATTCACTGCTGCTTAGGTGGTTTTCCAATGCCTTGACTGTCTATTAGTCTGGCTTTGGTAAGCATGAAACCACATTCAGGGCGCCGGCAAGACTCATGTCTTTTCCGCAACTGAACATTGCAATAAACCCCCGATCTTTTTTGGCTTGAGACATCCCCCAAGGTACCAGCTTCCACCGAAAGAATAGCGGAAGGATCTACTGGAGGCAGTCCTGACTTTCATGAAGAGGAAGAAACTGATCACGTCCTTTTTACGCAACTTGACGTGACTCTTTTTCCATACGCATGAGACGCGCATACTGGCAGACCCTTTGCACCAACTTTGCGGGAGCAAGGCATCGAAGATGAAGGAGTACACTGGGAGGCCTTTGCAGAAGATGTTTATGCCAAAACATACTGGCATAGAGAGGCAGACCTGCGTGCGGAAACCCGTGCGCTAAGCCCTATTGCTGCGTCTAGCACCCGAGTGCTCCTTTTCGCCTTTGATCATGTTGAATTGGTTCCATTCCAGGTTGATCTTCATTGGGAAGATGCCTGGAGTGATCAGCCAGGTTTAAGTGTTGCCAAGGCTGAGATGCGTCTCATCCTTTGGGAAAGGATACCACCGCTCAGCCCATACTGTGTAGGAACAGCTTTTCCGCAACCAACGACGAGGCAGCAAAATGGGAAAGACAATATATATGTCGTAGGACAGCCCGAAGCTGATGGTGACAACCTGATTGCCATACTACTAGTCACCAATTATGTTAGCAATGCTAAGGATCAGTACCACATCTGTGCATTTCGAACAGCTCTGATTTCTGGGCGACAGCAAATTCTCAATGTTTGTGTCGTACGGTGAAGTGCATTGTCTCCAGAGAGCAGGAGGTCTGGCATGATGGTGTAGTCCATATGCTTGCGATAGGCATGAGGGTTGATGTAGAAGTACATCTTGATGAAGATCTTGTTGCGGAATGTGCCATCAGTCAGCAAGAGGCTGTCACTCGCTCCGAGCCTAACAATCTGACCTTCCATCTGGAAGAAGAAGGGGAGGAAGAATCGGTAGGATCTCTGGCTTATGAAGACGTGATCCTGATGCAAACTACTCTAGGCTCGGCGCCGGATAATGGTTGGTCCATGCACTCGCACGCCCGGTTAGCGCAATGCGCTGTAGGTAGACTCCCGTGGGTCGAGCCGGTTCGCCTGGAACCCCATGAGATGTTCTTCCGTTGGAATGTTCGTGGAATAGATTTAGTGCGAGAACACTTTGCACAACAGGCCATGTTTGCGGAGAGCATCCACTTGATGGGATGGCTCTTCAAGGATCACTTGCAAGAAGCCGGAACTCCATTTGCTTGGGGGCTTACGGCAAATTCGCCGTGGGTGGTGCAAATCAGCCGTTTTACTCATGATGCCGGCTTTATGGCGGCTGTGATGTATGATATCACACCTAGTTTGCCATGCCTGGAAGAGGAAGGGGAAGTTAGGAACAGCTGGCATCTTATTACTCCTCTTGATGGGCATCGAACTAGTGCGCTTCTTCTCGTTATTGAGCACAAATTGCAGACTGTGCCCTTTCGAGGCGCATTCCACTGTTTCGAACCGTGCCAAGCTCGAAGGCTTTTTGTCTTGGTTGGTCTTAGTCACCGATGTGACGATCAGAACCAATGTGGTGTCACCTTTCTGCATGGCATTTGTCGACAGGACTTCTTCGATGAAGACATTGTCGAACTCCCGAAAGCCTCTCTTGTCACTTTGCAAGTTATCCCAACACCGCAGAGGGCATGTATGGCTAGAAGCAGGATTGGTCAGGCAACTGAAATAGCAACCCAGGTGGCCGGTTCGTTGCATACCAGGGGTTCGCAATCCCATCAGGAAGTTCTACGGAAAGCCAGACGGGTTCTCCTGCGCAATAGTGACAAAGCCGCTGGATCTGACACGACTGAAAGAAGTGATCAAGTTAACCTTATGCAGGTCGATGCGCATGCTTCCAGTGACAGCTTTAGTTACCGATCCCAGCCCCTCCGGGATGATGTTGAAGCTATCAGGACACGTGTCTTCACTTTGACGGATACTTGCCTTGATAGTGGAGCCGATTTCCACTTTGTTCTTGAATTGACGGAGGGTACTAGGCATTGGGTCGAGACCTGTCCTTTTGCTGACATGCGATCATCTGCAAGATTTTTTGAGTGGTTCTTCGAACACATGCCGTTGAATGCTCATCGTCCGTTGCTTACGGCTAGGAGTAGGGCTTTACTGGCATCTCGAAAACTTATGCCAGCAGCATGGACTGTGCTCATTCCCCGAATGCCGCCCACGAAACCAGTTCCAGTTCTTGTCAACTTGTTGCCCGCTGGGGCTAGGTTTCCGGTGTTATACCTTATTCAGGTTGAAGGAGTTGAATCGCCAAGACGCCTGCACCATATGGTTACTGGACACGCTAATACTCCTGATCTTGATATAATGGCGCAGATTCACGATTCCACTCTTGAAGCAGACTGGTTTACAAATATGTTCCCAGGATTGGTGGTCGACATACAAGAGCTTTCGACATGGGCAGCAAAGCCAGATGCTGAAGAAGAGGGTTCCCAAACGCCCCAGCTGGAGAAGCCGGACTCCTTGCTCACCTCTTCAGAGGATGTCGTCTCCATGATGCAGAGGCAGGTTCGTTCAGAGAGTGAAGCAGGTAGCAGCTCTACGCCGACCACTCTGACCAGCCAGTCCATGAGAGTGTCGTCGCTCAGCAGCGGTCCTCCACCGCTTCGGGAACCGGAGAGCCACTTTGTTCCCCACGCTGTGGCGCTACAAAGGGCACAGGAGTTTCTCCTCACCTATTGGAGAGAGCAACCAAGACACAGCACTGCAATTGAATTAACGGTTCAGTGCGTGATCTTTCGACAACAGGGCGCAACCTGTGCTAACATCTTGTGGCCTGCGCATTTGATTGAAGACCCCCTCGCGATAGATCACTTCAGTGATTTTTGCGATCGAGTCTGTCCACCAATAGAGTACTCGCACTCGCGCATTTTTGCAGCGCAGACCGAGGTGCATTCTAATACACCTACGGTGGTTCTAGTGGATGACTGCAGAGGGTGTGATGCACCGGTCATTGTCTTGGTCTATAGAGATCCAGAGCATGAAGCACCTGTACCGGCCTGGCATGTCATCACATGGGTCGAGATGCATATAGTACTGCCTGGCGAAGTTGTGCTAGAACTCAACCAAGATTGTATCCAACCTGAGGATCTCATTACCTTCCGGCCTGGTGATGTCCTGGTATTGCGGGCAAACTCGGGAACCATTGATCAAAGTCGCAGTTTACAGCAATACCCAGCAGAGTCCGATAGCGGTCCATACCCGCAAACCGGCCGGTCACAAGATGCTGATGATTCATTAACACCTGGCAGAGAGGTTGAGGGTAACATGCTCTTGCAACTGTCTGCGGCCAAGCTGAATTGGAAGCGTACCCCCACGGAAGGGTTAAGGCCACCAGGTAATCCCACGAAGCTTTCCCTTGAGGAAACCATCAGACAGGTGGCTACTCCTCAAGGTAGACGGACCATCTCCTTAGCCAAGCATCTTGATCCACAGGCGAACCAACACAGTGCGCCATTTCAGTCGGTGTCTGCACAGCTCGACCCTTCGATCTGGGAATGTTTAGAATGGGACCCCTGTGAAGACCTCCGGACTGACTGGCAAGTACTCAAAGATCTACCTGACGAGACACGCACTTGGTGCGAGCACGCATCGTGGTTGAACCTTTGGGAGTGGGACCCTACCCTCTCCCAGCACCTTGAGGTTTATACTGACGGTTCCTTTCGAGGGCAACAGGCGGCTTGGGCTTTTGTTGTAGCTGGTTCTGATGGAGAAGAACGCGACATTTTAGGCTACTTGTCCGCCGCTGTTGAATCCTAGCCGGAAAACGAACGCTTCTTGTTTCCAGTCCAGGACACAGCGTATGTAGGAGAAGCCCAGGCACTAATATGGTCCACTTGGTGGCTCTTGAGATTCATCAGAGCCGTCTCTTGGAGGGGCCAAGTGACCTTCCGATGGGTCAGTGTTGTTGCAGGCAACAAGGCCAGGGGTCTTTTTGCTGCTAACGATCCCAATGGAGCTATTGTTCGTAGCCTCCAACTGGCTCTAGAAGCATATTTGGGGGCCGAATCGATTCTCCATGAACATGTTAAAGCTCACACTGGGGATCACCTTAATGAACTTGCTGACTCTGCCGCCAAGCATAGTCTCCGCTGTGCCAGTCAATATACAGAAAAAGGCTCGCTCAGACAGCTTGTGACTTCCCGCGATCAAATACTCCCATGGCTGTGGAGGATACTTCATGATTGGCAGGACCCGCAGCTCCCATCATGGGATGGCAATGCAATGTGTGTGTATAGGTCCATACCACTTGCTGACCATACTGTGGAAACAGTAAAAGAACAAATGTTATGGGAGCCCGAATATCAGGGCCAGCATTGCCTCATGTCCTTCTCGATCCGGATTGCCTCTTACAATGTGCTTTCGCTAGGCAATGAGGACCACGAGACCATTTCTAGCACCGCTGGCAGGGTGGCATGGATGCGGGAAACTGTTGACGCAAAAGGCATTCACTTGTTCGGGAATACAAGAAGCACGAACCCCGAATGGCACCATTCAGTCGACCAGTCACCTTAGAATATGTTCGGGAGCTGACAATGGGTGCTTAGGGGTTGAGCTGTGGGTTTCTTTAGAGAAGTCCTTTGCACACGCGGATGGCAAACCTCCCCTTCGCTTCCGAGCCAGAGACATTTCTGTTTGCCATGCCGACCCCCGCATTCTCATAGTTGATGTTTGCGCAGAGGCTGTTAGTTTCTGGGTGTGTGTTGCACATGCGCCACACACGGGGACGGCGGTTGACATTCGTATCAACTGGTGGAGCTCCCTTAGGGAATATCTACGGGCCAAACCTGAAGGCAAAGAACTAGTCTTGCTGATTGATGCTGATGCGAGATGTGATCACCATGTTTGGCCTTGGGTCGGAGAGCTCCTTGACGGTAAGCCCAACGCGAACACTGACGAGTGGTACAAGTTCTTGGCAAGTCAGGAACTTTTTGTTCCGAGTTCTTTCAGTTGTGCGCAGTGGGGGAATTTCTCGACTTGGACCCACCCAGCCACTGGGGCTCAATCCAGAATTGACTATGCTTGCCTTCCGATCAGTTGGATGCGCGGACAGATTGATGCGTGGACCGATCCCGGAATTCACTCCGGACACGCAGGAGCAGATCATTGCTGCACTATTGTCAATGCCAGTTGGACCACTGAAGCCATCAGAAAACCGTCACATCATGCAAGAATAGATATCGACAAAATGCTGACTCCCGAAGGCAGTAATACAATCCGCAACATGGTTCGTGGACTGCCTCATTTGCCTTGGGAGACTAATGCCACTGAGCATGCTGCTGCTTTGACTAAAGCGATCCAGAATAAATTGTCGGAAGAATTCCCTCTACCTAGACGCATCAAGACTTGGGCGTGCCCTAGTGAGGCCACGAGGGAATGCCTGGACAAACTCACTAGTGTTAGAAGAGAGCTCCGAGGGTATAAGAACATTTACAAGCATTGCTTCATGCGTTTCTTTTTCGATGCTTGGATGAAAGCCTCCTGGACGGACCAACAAGTGACGTGGGTTGGGAGAGTTGCTTTGGAAAAGCCCCGTTTAGGCAAGGAGCTCAAGCAAGCAGCAAAGCAATTCGCCTCCCAGCTCAAGCAAGACAAAAGAGAATACCTTACGCGAGTTGCAACCGGTGCTGCAAAACTGTCTGTCAGTGAAATTTATCGAGCTTTACGACCTTTGATGCCGAGTCGTAAGACTAATGGAGCAGTTAAACCCATGCCACAAATTCGTAAGCTCGACAATACACTCACCTCCTCTTTAAAAGAGTTTGACGACCGATGGACGGAGCATTTCTCTCTTATTGAAGCTGGACAGATACAGGATACTGCGTCCTTAATCCGGGAATGCGTTATCCGACAGGGGTCCCAGAAATGGCCTGAGCTCGACTGCTTCTGGGCTCTCCCGACACTCCAGAACCTGGAGGCTGCTTTTCAGAAGCTACGCCCTAGGCGTGCACCGGGACCAGACCGCATTCCAGCAGAACTGTTGAAAGCTGCTCCAGCAGAGATGGCCCATTTATGCTACCCGCTACTTTTGAAGCTCGCAATACGCAGCGAGGAGCCTGTTCAATGGAAAGGAGGACGGACCATCGCTCTGTATAAGGGCAAAGGAGCGCATGATATCTGTGCCAACTTTCGATCCATTTTGCTCATGTCGACCATGGGTAAGGCACTACGAGCAGCAATGCGACCGCTGATAAATGCACCGTATGTACACACCAGCCCACAAGGACAACTAGGAGGCGCCACGGCAAAGTGTGCTCTTTGGAGCCCAAATTGTCAGACATTTCATTGCGTGGCACAAACAGAAGTCACAGTCGTGTGTTGTCCTGTTTTGTGATGTTATGTCGGCCTTTTATACGGTGCTGAGAGAATTGGCGGTCGGGGTCGAAGATGCCAGCTGGGAGATGAATCTCCATCGAATTACTAATCATTTTGGCCTTGGACCTGAGACCCACCAGAACTTAATCCAAGCACTTCGGGGTCATTCAGAGTTTCAGCAATTGGGAGCGAATAGTCTCCAGAACTGCCTGCTCAGAGAAAGTTTGACTGACACTTGGTTCTCCTTTGATGGTAAACGAAGTGTCCGTACGGCTAAAGGCAGCAGACCTGGAGACTCATGGGCTGATTGCACCTTCAATATCCTCTTTCAAGCAGTCCTGCAGAAACTCTTGCAGAAGCTTAAACGTCTGGGACTTATTGCTGTTCTGTCTGATGGAGAGCAAGCGTCCGAGGAATGGCCTATGTCTGGCGCCCAAGCCGATGAGCCATTCCAGGTTACATGGGCAGATGACTTAGCAGTCCTTTTGAGCTTCGATACACCGCAAGAAATTCTTACTAAGTTGCCGTTTGCAGCTTCCGCCCTCTTCGGCACGCTTGCTGAATATGGCATGAAAGCAGCCATTGGACCGTCTAAGACGGCAGCCATTGTGCTGGCGCGGGGGAAGGATGCTGTTAAGGTTAGAAGAAAACCTCTTTAGAGATAAAGATGCGGGGTGCCTTGTAGTCCTTGAGGAAGAAACGGTGAAACTTCCTTTCGTTGATCGGTACAAGCACCTTGGGGGATTGGTGTCTGCGGCAGCTAATTTGCAGCTCGAGATACGAGCTCGATGTGCTAAGAGCAGATCCGCCTTTTGGAGGGTTGGACACAAAGTACTTCGGAATCGACGACTTCCGTTCACATCTAGGAAGAGCATATTCGAAGCAACAGTTGTGTCTGTGCACGCCTGGGGGGCCGGAGCCTGGCCGTTACTAAGCGCCCAGGAATGGCGCACATGGGCGACCGCCTTATGGGACTTGTACCTCAAGATGGTCCCCCAGCTAGTACGTAACCAGCATTTGCATGTCTCAAGATGCGAGCTGCTTTTGGAAGGCAGCTTCTCAAGACCAGAAGATGTGTTGCACGTGGCTCGTGTGCGGCACATCGGTTCCATGATCCTTTCTGCTCCGCCACTATTGCACGCATTTATTGTTCGTGATGTGGCCGCGATGCAGGGATATCGCAATTCCATGCAGTGGTTTTGGAATGGCCTAGGAAGAGATCAGGGACTTCCTCGTATCCAGGACTGGAACGAGTGGAAAGACTTCATTCTCGTCGCTTCTCCTGTCAAATGGAAGTCCACCATTAAGCGGGTAGCCCTCCGATACACGAGAGGGTTCCAAAGATTAGCGGAGGTTGAGCTTTGGCATAGACGAATACTACAGTGCCTTTAAGACTTGAAGTGTGTGGAGCAGTCCGGTGTAGATTGCAGCACTGTTCATGTCTGTCTACTATGTCAGAAAGGCTTTAGTAGCATGCGAGCGTGGTTTTGCCATGCGTCACAAAAACATGGATATGTCTCCATGCAGGGTGAAGCTGCTAAAGGCCAAGTATGTCCCTGTTGTAGTAAGCGTTACCGCTCTGCCCTTAGTTTGAAGCATCATCTCTCTTGTAGCAGTGTCTGCTGCACCTTCATGTGGGAACACCGAGACGAGGTGCAGCGTGAGACTGTTTGTGAGCAACACCCTCAAATGCCATGGAGGAATATTGAGCAAACACCTGTTCCTGCGACTGCCGATTTCGACAGAGACACTGTCCGGCTAATTTCCGAGCTCGACTATATCCTGCATCATGATTTTGGCGATACGGAACAGGATCATTTTAGTACTCACTTGGCTGCAAAGTTGCAGGAGGTTTGCATGACCGTTATGCCATTTGCATCCATCCATAAGGGCTTTACTACTTGGGCAAGCCAGATGGTTGACTCAAGAGATGCGCGTCTTCTTGGAGCTCTTCAGGAAGTAGGCACATGGCTCCTGCAGCAAAGTCATCATTTTACTATCCGAGACAGTCATTCAGAATCCATCCCAGACGAAAGCGATCGTGCGTCGATTTCAGTTTGTCTTGCTAATATTCCGCCGCTCTCAGGCAGACCAAGTACTGCCCTGTTTTTGCATTTCTTTAGCGGGCACAGAAGAGTTGGGGATTTGCAATGGTGGCTGGAGAAAGTACATACTGATTTAGATACCGCCATAGAGGTCGCGTCCATTGATATTGTGATTTCTGCAGAGAAATGTGATCTTGCCTCTAGTAGCCAACAAGCCAAGCTCTTAGCCTGGATTCGGTCAGGCCATATTGCTGGAATCTTGATTGGGCCACCATGTGAAACCTGGTCAGTGGCACGTGAGGAGCCCACCGAGACACCAGGACCTCGACCCGTACGGTCCAGAGCAGCGCCGTGGGGCCTTTGGGATCTCAAGCAGAATGAACACTGTCAAGTTACCATAGGTTCGTTGTTGCTTGGTTTCGCCTTTGAAGCAATGCTGACCCGGGCGTGTACGAATGGCTTCGGGGCAATGGAACATCCTCGTGATCCTAACGAGTACATGCAGCATAGGAACGAGGCACCTTCCATTTGGAACCTGCAGGTTACCAGATGGCTGCTGAGTACTGGTTTATTCCACCTGCTTCGGGTGGAACAAGGACACCATGGAGCGTCCAGCCGCAAACCGACAACACTGCTGATTTGTGGAGTCACCCCAGAACGTGCTACCGACTTGGAAAAGCAAGCGCGCTCACAGGCAACTCCGCAGACTTCAAATATAGGTAGGAATACTGACGGCACCGGTTGGAAGACCAGCCATTTGAAAGTGTACCCTTCCGGTTTTTGCCGTTTTTTGGCGCTCTTGTACTATGAATGGTGGTGTACAAGAGCCTCACTGCCGCAGTTTGACGTCGAAGAGGCCCGGCAATGGCACAGTGATCTTGTACAGGCATTGCCGACGGGTGAAACAACCTTTGGCCCCGACTTCAACAAACGCAGCCACCGTTAATTCAGAATTTACGTGCGAGGCGCCGCACTTAACTCGAGACCAGCGCGCGAATCGAAATCGAAATCGAATCCCCCAAGGTGCCAGGGTTTTGCAGTACGGATGTTTTTGAGGCTCAGTGAATTGACTTCGAACAAGCACCTGTCCACTTTCAGGAATGTCACGGAATGTCAAAATGATCTATGTTATAAATCATTATAGATTATAAATCTCTCAAAAACTTTGGAATGCATTGAATCAAAAACTTCACAGTTCCAAACTCAGCACAACACATCGGCGTTGTACCGGGGGTCGTAACCCGCTCCTCTAACTGGTTCTCTTCGAGCTGCAAGTCCATGAGGCTACTGACGCTACGAGGGTGGTGCGAGGTCGCGGAGGTCGCTTGGCACGGTTACAGTAAGACTCGTTCATGAGGCAATTCGGTCAGGTCCTCCCAAAAAATTATATCCACTGAAGGCGCTGAAGGTACCCTGGTTTTACGGATATGTGACATAGGTATCGGTATCAGACTTAGTTGATGTTGAGGTGGTATTATCCGGGCTTGAGTTTGAGACTCCTCGCACGCACTATTCAATCAAAGTCACCAAAATGTTGATCTCTTGGGGACTGGAATAACACCTGATCGTGCCCTGGACTTTTGTCGTCACTGTTGAAGTGTTAGTACGTTTCCGCCAGCAACATTCCAACGATGTGATGTCCCGGGGTCAAAAAGGTCCTAGTAGCCTTCTTTACTACTACTTTTAGTTTGAGTCTAATTAAATTCAAATTTATATATTGTTGCTACTAGCTTCTTGTTCCTAGTAGTAAGGCCCTTGTTACTAGTAGCGATGCCAGGAGCCCCTAGTAGAAAAGGATATATGATGGATATTTATTATATCTGGCAATCCCTGTTTGCATCGCAATTTCTTTGGACTTGCTGGCACCCCATTCCTCACCCCGACAAAACCCAGTTGTAGCTAGCGCGCGGCTGGTCCGCGCAGCGCGCCTCATTCTTGAAAAGTCCGGAAGCTGCGAAAGGAGGTTGCCCTGACAAGTGCCACGCTAGTAGTAACAGGTGCCTTACTAGTAGTAACAAG